TGCACGTCTTGAGCTAGCGATGTGCAACAAAACCTTTAAATGACCCAAATACAATAGAATATTCAGGTTCAAAGTGTAGGTGAGTCCACTCGAACAAATTGTAGCACGTCTTGCGCTAGCGATGCGCAACAAAACTTGTGGGTTACTCTAGAATGGTGGGATATTGGGGCTAAAGATAAATGTTAGTTAATACTTCGTTTGGACAATTTGTTGCACGTCTTGCACTAGCGATGTGCAACAAAACTTTTGGGATACTCTAGAGTGATGGGACATTGGGCTTGATTACATTCCAAGCACTCAGCTTCCAAGATCGAGAATGTGGCAAGTCTTAAGGGCTTAAGATAGGAGTCAGAATGCAAGTCTGCTCGCTATTGTGGGCCTGTATAGCAGGTGCTTCCATAATCCTTGGTGGGTATATCAAATCAATCAAAAGTTGCATTGTTACTTCTGTCCAGTGGTGTTGGTGGGGATACTAGCAGCCGTACTTCAGTTGGAACATCTTTAATCCAATGTGCCGACGCTTTCTTTAGTCACTCGATAGATATTAGGAGTGGTTGAGAAGTGATTACCGCAGGGGCAGATAGCTCTGAGCGAAAGGTTCATCTTTAGGTTAGCGGGGTAAGGGAGTCAAGGTTTGTTGAAGAAGGTGAAGCCTAGAATTATGGTGTATTGAATATGTGTTTGTAGTATGAACAAAGTCCAAAGATGATCGAGATAATGCAACTTGGAAAACGGAAACATAATTGTTGATTATTAGCATAGACGTTGCAGCCAATATGAAGTCCCTTCACAATCCAGTCCAAGGGCCAGTCCAAGGGCACCGTCCATATCTACGTGTTCCTTGAAATGATATGAAAGAAGACACGCTTGATTCGAAGAATCTAAAACCCAACCAGGCCACCAACAACGACTGGTGCGTGATCAGATTGCAGTACAATATAGGGCATCAAGTTAGATCAAAACGAAACCAGATCTGCACAATCCATTTTCAAACAGCACTAGCTTGCATCTCAATATCAACAGAATATTCAAGTCGTCATCAACAACAAAAATACGAACCCTCGCTAATAATAGGGGAGCGGGACCCAGCCGAAAATGGGCGGATATGATCCGAAGTTTCCTCCCAACGAATTGAATACGAACCCAACACAAATCTCCTCTCCATCGATGCAATCATCAAAACCCAATCCCGATTTCCATATTAAGAATCTCCCAAACACGAGCCCACGTAATCACAATCTATTGCCCAAACCATCGTATCTGCAAACACCTCCATCATCCCACTAACCACACAAGCCGATTATTTCCTCAGACGCGATTCTAGAACACAAAACAGCCAACAAAGTGACTTGGAGAAGCAAACCAAACGCTGCTACCTAAGCACACAATTGATGACTCTACATGCATGATAATCTCAATTCATCATACGTTCACTCTATTAACATGACATGTCACTTTATCTTCCCCAAACCTTCCGAATCCTCGGATCCTCGTCGGCATCTTGCTTGGGGATCCTGGTGCTTGCATCCCGATTTTAATCAAATGAATAATTCAAAATAAATAAAATCTTTAATAATATTTTTCTGAATGAGCTTCTGCCCCCCCCCTGGTAACAAGCAAGGACCTGCCCTATTCCAGGGAAAGAAGGAAGAGAAATTCTCGGGACAGGAATTTCGATTTAGAGGTGAGGATGATCTGACGTCCAAACCCCACTTGCCGCATTGGGGATCCCGGTGCGGGGTAAAGGACATGACTTTCCAAGACACCTTTCTCCAGTCTAGGGGAGAAGACTTTTCCCGAAGGCGGAAAAGAGAAAAGAGTCATGATTCATAGTAATCGGAATCTAAATGCGGTGACTCATGAGTTAAGCTGAGGTTGTGGCGGAGCTGGAATGCGGAGAGCAGCTGAGGAAAAGGGTCCGGGGAAGAAAGTCTTATTGAATGCTTGTACCCTGGTATGCGCATAGAGGTGGTGAATTATTGAGGCTTGATGGTTCGTCGCTGTTTTGGGTATGGTTGGAGGTGAGATTGATCCCCAGAAATCTTGAATCTAGGATGCGACTCTTGGCAAAGTGCCTCGAGACGAGGCATCTCTCAACTTTAATTATCCTCACAATGCCAGGACAGGGAGCTGCAAAGAGCACACGACAAATTCGTGATGAATTTAAGGTGGCAGGGAAAGGAGAGGAAAGCTTCAAACAAATTGCCTCGTCTCGCGGCATTTCGATAATATTCCTGACGGTATGCGAGGACATGTAACCACAAAGAGGATGAGGATGTTTCGTGATAAATGAAAATTGGTGAGGAAAGAAGAGGAGAACTTCAGACAGAGTTTCTTGAATTGTAATATAACAGTTAGAGAATCGTGATTGGAAAGTACGAACTAGGTAGCAACACTGAGCAAAAATAATCTTTGAACTATATGCCGCGTGTTTAGCTCAATTTATACATTGTAATCTTCTGTACAAAGACATTTGGCTATAGAACAAGAATCATGCTCTAAGCCTTGAAGTTCACGATGGCTTCAAAAGCAATGACACCAGCACGTGATACAGTAAAACATATCCCCTTCGATTAATTGAAAAGCAATAACGTCTGTCCCTACGTAGCGAGACGCACGGTGTCCCGAGACGAATTTTATGCAATCATATCTCATACTCTGTTCTGTTAATTTACCGTTCTATTTGTGATATCCTATGATTCCCTAGTACTTTATCTATAGGATCCTCACTGCAGCGAGTGAAATCTGAGCGTCTTGGTTGTCGCCATCGTTGGTTTGCTCATCGTAGGATTTGATGCTTGAGTTTCAACCCCCTACTATGCCGCGGACATCGCTAGTTATTCAAATTTCGGAGGCCTAATGCTATAGCGCAATATCAAATGAGAACCGCACTAGCTATTTAAAAATAATGAGCCTCGTGTGGCTGGCATGAAAAAGTTTCGCCGAGTATGGAAGTGTGGCATTAAATGTGCGGCGGCGGCTGCGCTATAATATATTAGGTTAGCTGAGATAATGCCAAGCAAACTGGAGGTCCCTTCTGGCGAGCTTTTGATGCTGGAACAATTCACCTCTCTAGCTGCTTATCAACTTTGAGCCAACAGCGCAAGATGTCAAATGATATGTGCTATTTCAACAACGCGATGAGCAAGCTATGGCAGGATCTGTTATGCAGCGCTTAGGGCTTCCAATGAGCGAGACGAAGCGTCCTGTTGTGTCTGCGTCTGCCATCCAATTGGCAGGCCAGCCTGCGCCAGGATGCACCCTCGTGGGCAGCCTCTACGATCACGACTGCGTATCATTCTCACTATCAGTCCTTCGACGGCTGCTTCACATCCTGTCGACCTTTGAATCGCAGTGCTTGCGCCGGTATACTGAACGAGTCACAAGTCGCACGCATCGCGCTTGCTTTGAGATCGCTCGCGAACTTCATCCATGGCTCTCATACGCCTCTTGCAGTGTAAACCCGACGGCGAGATCGTCTTTCGCGAACCTACGAGCGGCAATGTCCCTGCCTACGCAATACTCTCTCACACATGGGGAAAAGAGGAGGTTATTTTTCAGGATATGGAAGCTGGCGCAGATATGAACAAGACCGTGAGCAAGGCTGGGTGGAGGAAGATACAATTCTGTGCGAAGCAGGCTGCGGCCGATAGACTACAATACTTTTGGGTTGATACTTGTTGCATTGATAAGAAGAATGCGGTCGAGCTTGGTGCGGCGATTAATTCCATGTTTCGGTGGTATCAGAACGCTGCACGCTGCTACGTCTACCTTTCGGATGTCTCTACACTTAACACTAGAGCGGATGACCAGAGGGCATGGGAAGAGGCCTTTAGGAAGAGTCGGTGGTTCACTCGAGGCTGGACGCTTCAAGAGCTTATCGCACCAAGGCTAGTTGACTTCTTTAGCTCGGAGGGTGAGCGTCTTGGGAGCAAATTGTCACTTGAGTCCAAGATACACGAGATCACCGGCATTGAGAAAAATGCTCTCCGAGGCGATTTATTGTCGAATTTTAGCATTAAAGAGCGGAAGTCTTGGGCGGGGCACCGCAAGACTACGATTGAAGAGGATATAGCGTATTGTTTAATCGGGATCTTCGAGGTTTCAATGGTGCCGAACTATGGAGAGGGAAAGGACCACGCATTCCGGCGGTTGGATGAAGAAATTCACAAATTATACAAAGGTAAGTCATTTGCATAGAAATTGACTAAAGTGAAACTAATTGGCATAGGTGTCGGCTTTGAACAGTTTGCCGTAGAGCTCAACCTCACATCATTTCCTGAAACTGCACAGTTTGTTGCCAGAGAGAAGGAGCTCTCGAAAATGCACGAGCTGCTTCAAGATCACAGTAGTCGATCTTGTATCATCCTGCATGGCCTTGGGGGTATTGGAAAGACTCAGCTGGCGATCACATATGCTAGACGACACAAGGAGAAATATACGGCGATCTTCTGGCTGAACGCGAATGACGCAGACTCACTAAAGCTAAGCTTTCGGGACGTCGCTCAGCAAGTGCTAAGACATCATCCTTCCACTAGTGTGCTATCTAGCGTAGACCAAGATAAAGACCTCGATCAAGTTGTTAGTGTAGTCAAGGGCTGGCTTGACTCCCCGCAGAATGCAAGGTGGCTAATGATCTACGATAACTTCGACAATCCTAAGACATCTGGTAATCCCGACAACTCGGCAGTCGACATACGCCAATTCCTCCCTCGGTCTGATCACGGCTCAATCATCATCACGACACGGTCGTCGCAGGTTAGGCAAGGTATACGAATTCATGTTCAGAAACTCCTAGATGTTAGGGAAGGTCTTGAGATTGTGTCTAACATGTCAGGACGTAAGGGCATTGAAAAGGGTATGTCAGTATAATTGATAGTGGGAGCAAAGACAATACTAACAAGACAGATTCTGATGCTATAGCTCTTGTTAAAGAACTCGACGGCCTACCACTTGCTCTATCTACAGCAGGGGTATATCTCGAGCACGTAACGACGAGCTTTTCGGATTATCTTCAGCTCTATAAGACATCATGGTTGAAGCTTCAGACGACAAGTCCCCTGTTGAATTCCTATGAAGATCGCTCACTATACACGACATGGCAGATTACCCTCGATCGGATCCAACAACAGAACCCGGCGTCGGCAAGCCTGCTCAAGCTATGGGCATATTTTGATCGACAAGATATATGGTTCGAACTCCTTCGATATGCAACCTCCGCAGACGATCGATGGATACAAGAGCTCACGAAAGACGAACTAAACTTTAATAAGGCCATTGCTCTACTATGTAGCTTTGGGCTGGTTGATCCAGACGGGGCTCTTAAACAGCAGTTCGGGTCTGGAGGGTATAGCGTGCATAGTTGTGTGCACTCTTGGACAGTATTTGTGCTTAATAAAGAGTGGGACGAGGGTTTTGCACAGCTAGCATTATATTGCGTCGCTTCGAAGGTTCCCATGAGAAATGAAATAGACTCGTGGATGTTACAACGGCGGCTGCTTCAGCATGCTGTCAGGCAAGAGCAGGCCATACTTGAAAATAAGGTGGGTATAAAAAGAATGGAATGGGCTTTGCATAGCCTAGGCAACCTCTACGCCGACCAAGGCAAGCTGGCTGAGGCTGAGGAGATGTACAATCGAGCGCTCCAAGGCA